TCAAAAGCTCCTTTGAGGTGTAAGTAGAGAACAATACAAAATTTGCTGCTTCTGAGGGAGGTGCGGATTTCATGTTCGAGGCAGAGTATTTGATCAAGTGTGGAGCATTGTGGTCGAAATCCAACTTGGAGTGACGGTATAATATTATTATATTCTAGGTACCATTGGAGGCGAGTATGTACTAGTCTGTCCATTACTTTACTGAGACATGATAGTAGGGAAATAGGTCTATATGACGCAGGTTGGGATGGGTCTTTTCCTGGTTTAAGGAACGGAAGAATAATACTGGTCTGCCAATGTGAGGGAATATTTCCGTGAGTCCAGCATAGGTTGTAATAGTTTAGGAGAGTACTGTGTGCAGTTGATGGAAGATGTTTAATGAGTTCATATGGAATTCCATCCTCTCCAGGTGCCTTGCCAAGAGGTAGGCGGGTTAAGGCTAATTGTAGCTTGCTTAAGGTGTACATGTTGTCGACGCCGGGCATGGGTAGCAGTATGGCATGGTCAATTTCTTGTCTGAGGGGGAGTTCTTGGGCATGAAAGAAGGGTGTTGAGAGGGTAACTTTAAGACATTCAGCAAGAACATTTGCACGCTCCTGAGGTGTTTGACAGAGTGAACCGTTGATCATCAGGGGGAACGAAGGGAATGTTGGGCGACCTTTAATGCAGTTAAATGCAGCCCAGACTTTTGAATGTGGCGTAGTGGGTGTGAGGCTATCACAAAATTTTGCCCATGATGCTCGCTTTGCTGACAGTATGGTTTTTTTGGTTTCTGCTGTAGCCCGCCGGAGATTAACCCAGTTCTGTAGGGAGGGTTGACGTCTTTGTTTTTGTATGGCTCGTCGGCGTAAAGCGACTGTTCGTGCACATTCCGCGTTCCACCACGGTTTAAGTGGTTTGTTGGACCTATGTCCTGAAGTTTTCTTGAGCATTTGGGTGGCTGCAGAATTTATGGCCGAGGTGATTGTGGACAGTCGCGTGTTTGGGTCTACATCGTCTGTATCTGGGAGACAGACAGTATCAGCCCATTTTTTCTTATCTAGTTTCCTAATGTTCCACTTGTGGAGCGTTAGGGGGTGGGTTGGTGGCTGAAAGTTAGTAAATTTTATAATGAGGGGTTTGTGGTCACTTCCAATATCTGGTCCAGTATGAAACTGTAGTTCATGTTGAAAGTGTGCAGAGCCAAAGCAGATGTCCAGTGAGGCTTCATAATTGGTTCTGTAGTTAAAGTAGGTTGGAAGGTAGGGCGGGGAAAGAAGAGTATATGGTGCAGTGTCTAAGTAGTTATATAAATCGGTGCCTGCAGTATTTTGGGTACCTCTACTCCATGTGGGGTGGTGTGTATTGAGATCACCTGTAACAATGATCAGTTGCTGTAATTGGTTTAGATAGAATTCTAGTTCATTTAAATTTATTGTGCCACCAGGGTTGTATATACCCAGAAAGGATGTGTGTGTACCATTGTAGGGTATTAGGCATGCTAAAATTTCTAGTTTACCATTCACAAAATGTGTAAGCGTTACAGGTTTACATGTCATGTTACTCCGTGTTAGGAGGAAAATACCACCACCCATACGGTTTGGTCTGTCCAGTCTCTGCATCTGAAAGTTTTTAAAAATAGATTTTGTTTAGGGGTGAGCCAGGATTAGGTTATGAAACTCAAGTCCGGTTTGGATGAGTAAAGGAATTGTTTAAGTTCTGTGAGGGATGTTTTAATGCTTTTTGCATTCCAAGTCATGAAGGTTAGGGGAGCCATTTAGGATGTGTGGGTTATGGATGTGTCTGTTTTCCTTGGCATGCCAGTAGTAGTACGTGTTGGATACCTAGATGTGGATGTGGGCTGTGTCTTACTCTTGGTACTGGCGGTTTGGGTTTGTGGCAAGTCAGCCCGTGGAATGATTTTGGTAAGGCGTGCTAGGGAGTTATTTATGAGTTTTTCTATCATCTGTTCAAACAATGTGTGTCCAGCAATGGTGGCTTTGTTTGGGCGGATGTCAGTGTCTGTAGCTGTTGATGGGATGTCTTTTGGGTCAGCCTCAGGGATGGGTTGTGTTACTTGTGTAAAGAATTTAGTTAGAAGTCGGTCCAGCGTCTTTTCTAGTGCATTTTCGATGCGTGTGACAAAAGTTTCAACAAGATCATTTTCAATGCGAGTGACAAGAGTTTCAACAAGATCAGGATTCAGTTGTGCATTTTGTGAGAGAGGGTTGGACCCTGGGGTTGTGGGAGTGTCGGTGACAGATATATCAGGTACACACAAAGGTTGTGTTTGAGTGTGAGGTAGTGTTTGATGATGGGCTGTGTTTGGTTGTTTCAGTGCACTACTGTATAGCAGGTTGTTGGTAGGGAGAACCTTAGTTTTTGCTGCTGCTGCTATGTATGAGGGACATTGTTTGAATGTAATGTCGTGGTCGCCACCACAGTTTGAGCAGGTGAGTGTATCTGATGTACAATCTTACGTGTAATAGGAACCAGAGCATTTCCCACATTTAATGTCTTTGGTGCAGCCTTTCCAGGTATGGTTAAAACCTTTACATTTAAAACACTGAGTGGGACGTGGTATATACACCTCTAGTTTATGGGGGAAGCCGTTTAACCAAATCCTCTCAGGGGGGATGTAGTCTAGAAAGGTAAGCAGAGCAGTGCCTGTATCACTCAGTTCTCCGTCTGTTCTTCCCATAAATTTTTTGATTCCATGGATCGGGATGTCATGTGTCTCAAGTTGTGCTTTGATGTCGTCTACACTGATGTCTACCACATGTCGGATTACATATTTTGTTAATCGGTCCCCAAGTGGTTTGTAGCACTTGACTTTGTGGCCACAGATGTCAGTAATGTCTGAAAGCTTTAGTTCTTTGCCATGTTTGTGGTCCACTGCGATCAGGTTTTTCTGTTTATTTGGTCTCATATTGTGCACGTTGATCCCGAATATCTTGGGAATGGCATTATATAAGATACTTTGTGCCCGGCTATTTCTGAACACATTTTCCTCTTCTCCATCAAAGGCAATGATGAAAGTTTGCAAATCAGAAGAACTTGTCCTACCTTGGTTGAGCTGTGGAGGTTGATACTGAGGCCGCGTGGTGCCGGCATGGTCTCTGTTTACCTCTGTAAGTTGGCGGCGTTTCGCCTCCAATCTGTTTGCCTTGCTGTGATGTTTGCTGTCTAGGAAATCTCCATCTAGATCCTCTTCTAAGATCGGGTGACGTTCATGATCTAAATGTGTGGTATGCAACAGTTGTGGGAACCGACCTGTGAGATTTATATTTATTTAATTTATATGAATTTATATTTACGTTAATTTATATACTTCGATAGCAATTTGTATAATGATAAGTGGACTGTATTTCTGCAATAATCTCTTAATCTCACAAATCGATCCTCTACACATTAGGGGGGGTTTATTAACTTAATATATATGCAGCCAATCAAACTACAGTAATAGCTACATACATTGATGAGGTTCCTTATCTTATAGTACAGCAGGCTAGTCCACCAGGTATAACTAGGGTGTAGACACCAAATTATCCTCTTTGAGGTAGCTTCCATATCACCCAGTAACTGGTGCACAAATCTTGCTTCCTCGTCATGACCTGTCAAAAGTGCGCTAGCTGTGAAGCTAGAATCCTATATATGACAAGTATTTCAGAGAAAACTGTACATGGAACATGAAGACCTGGCTTAATTACCTTTATTTTGAGGCTTCCACGTGATCTAACCGGGTCACCCTATATCCTGACATTAATGGCCATAAATGAATGATAAACGGGTTTCGGATAGACACTTAACTTGAATTGTAGACATCGTGTTGGAGATGGTACCTTTGGTTTCCATAACACTACGTCCAAGTAAAATTAACAGGAGCCGAATTTGCTCCCGTGAGCCTCTGGTCTAGTATAAACCATGGCTGTTTAACACTCCATACTATTGACGTTACTGGCCGACATTGTCCAGATATGATAGGAGCTAAATTTGCTCCACACGTCTCGGAGGTGACACAACAATGGCTCCCCTCTTCCTCCCTCACGCCTGGCCTACTTTGTCCAGATTTCAGAAAGTGATAGAAGGGTCACATTTACTCTACTTTAATATTGATAATTAAGTTAATTTATATAAGATGTTTTTTTTGATGGTAAAGTCCAAAGACTAATGTATTTAAGAATAATTCCCACCATAATAGGTGGTGAATTATAATAGTATGTGGTGATGATATCCCGTTTTCTTTAGACGGTAATTCCACTACAAGTTACGTTTTCTATGGGTAACTTGTTGGTAATACAGCAGAAATTATTATCTGTCTGTATGATATATTAAATGGTGTCGGATTTTCCGACAACAGTGGTTCCCCAGTGTCCTCAAAGGTATCGTCAATATTTGTAAGAGACACGCTGCGTGAACCTCCACCAGACGCCATGACGCTCCGTCCCCTAGTCGAAATGGACTCTGTTACCATCATTAATAATTTTGTTGTATTTGTGTCTAGCTTCGGACACGGCATGTTAGTTGTGTCTTAAAGAGTTGAGAGCATTTAAGGATGATAAGGAGTCACTTACAATTAATGTATCAAGTTTGGAGACTTGTACACATTTCAGTGCAAGGAGCAAGGCAAATAGTTCAGTCTGAAGGGCAGAGGCCCAGTTACAGAATGTCTTTATTGCCATTCATTGGCATTCCTCAGAAGTTCTTGCAAGGCCATAGTGATTTTGCATGAATGATATTAAACATTCTCATTGGAGAGCCTGTACCAGCTGCACTGGCTGACCAAATGACCACTGCACTGACTGGTCAGTGATGGGTCAGGTCGAGTCATCGCCTACTCAAGCAGGAACGCTATTAAGGCTGCAGCTGAAAATTGTAGCAGCAGCAGCAGCAGCAGCAGCAGCACAAGAAAGGAGTATTGGTAGTTGTAAATAGTTATTAGTACAGTGTCGACGGCATTTGAACTAGTAGGAGCAATAAGGGTTTACCAGCTTGAGCCGTGACTGTGTTGTGTTCCTCAGGAGCGTACATCTACATGCTGCTGGAGAGAGACAACGAGGCCAAGCTGAAGGAGATCAAGAGGCTGACAGTGTTGGACGCTGAGGACTCCAAGAAGTACATCATCTCGCTCCTCTGGTACCAAAACTCCCAGAACCTCTCCAAGAACGACTTCAACAAGATGGTTGGTGGCTAAACTATACCACACTAATACTCAATAATTTAAATAAAAATGATCAGTTCAATTGCTTGAATTATTAATTATGAATTAACTTGCAAATCTTGTCTATGAATCCAGACGGCCCTCATTAATGATTGGTTAGGAATGCACTATCCAGCGGGATCCCTTCCTGTTGGATAGTGATTACACCATACATCCAGTCTTTGACTTCTACACCCTAGGTGTAAACAGCCAGCTGGGTGTCTGTACCCATCCCAACACCCTTGGGCTGTATACTGCCACCCTACACCCACCTCACACCCACCCCACACACCTCACACCCACCCCACACACCTCACACCCACCCCACACCCACCTCACACCCACCCCACACACCTCACACCCACCCCACACACCTCACACCCACCCCACACACCTCACACACCCACCCCACACACCTCACACACCCACCCCACACACCTCACACCCACCCCACACACCCACCCCACACACCTCACACCCACACCTCACACCCACCCCACACACCTCACACCCACCCCACACACCTCACACCCACCCCACACACCTCACACCCACCCCACACCCACCCCACACCCACCCCACACACCTCACACCCACCCCACACACCTCACACCCACCCCACACACCTCACACCCACCCCACACACCTCACACCCACCCCACACACCTCACACCCACCCCACACACCTCACACCCACCCCACACACCTCACACCCACCCCACACACCTCACACCCACCCCACACACCTCACACCCACCCCACACACCTCACACCCACCCCACACACCTCACACCCACCCCACACACCTCACACCCACCTCACACACCTCACACCCACCTCACACACCTCACACCCACCTCACACCCACCCCCACACCTCACACCCACCCCACACACCTCTCACACCCCACACCCACCCCACACACCTCTCACACACCCCACACACCTCACACACACCCCACACACCTCACACCCACCCCACACACCTCACACCCACCCCACACACCTCACACACACCCCACACACCCCACACACCCCACACACACCTCACACCCACCCCACACCCACCCCACACACACCCCACACACCTCACACACACCTCACACACCCACCCCACACACCTCACACACCCACCCCACACACCTCACACACCCACCCCACACACCTCACACACCCACCCCACACACCTCACACACCCACCCCACACACCTCACACACCCACCCCACACACCTCACACACCCACCCCACACACCTCACACACCCACCCCACACACCTCACACACCCACCCCACACACCCCACACACCCACCCCACACACCCACCCCACACCCACCCCACACACCCACCCCACACACCCCACACACCCACCCCACACACCCCACACACCCACCCCACACACCCCACACACCCACCCCACACACCTCACACCCACCCCACACACCTCACATCCACACAAAGATGGATTATTTAACACAGGTGGTAGGCGAACAAGGGGCACGGGAGACATCTCCCGTCACGCAGGGTGCAGTCGCACCTCCACAGATCTCCAGTATCATCTCTTGATACTGATAATGGCTCAAAAGGGCCACCACTTACGGGCTATTCATACCCGTGCCATCTTTTGGGTGGCTTAATCTTCATCAATCAATCATCGAACAAGGGGACACAGGTGGAAGCTGAGTACTCAGATGAGCCACAGAGACGTTAGAAAGAACTTTTTCAGTGTCAGAGTAGTTAATAAATGGAATGCATTAGGCAGTGATGTGGTGGAGGCTGACTCCATACACAGTTTCAAATGTAGATATGATAGAGCCCAGTAGGCTCAGTTCCCAAAATGGAGGGGACGGTCTACGTCGTAAAACTCCCTACTCTCGAATACTTGGGGGGGGGGGGGTTGTGTGAAACCTAGGTTTGTGCCTCGGAGAGGCTGCAGGATCCAGTAAGTTCAGTAGAACTTCTATTTCAACTGCTTTTGACCATGTCGTAGCTCAGTTGATTTTGGCAGCGTCTGGGATGCTCTTAGACGCAGGTTCGAATCCTCGTCACGGCCCTTGTGGATTTGTTCGTTTTATGCATCACGCAATTGTGATTTCTGTGTGTAAACTCACCTGGGAATCTCCCACAACCAAAATTCGCTTAGGGGCTTCGTTTACTTTGTGAGCACTTTGAGGGACCTGCGCTCTCTTCGACGCCTTCCCTCTCGAGTGAACTGCAGGCTCCCCACAGCACTCGTTCTCCAAGACGGCAAATGAGTTGGAAGATTTTTGGACATCGGTGGGCGGACTTCTTAAGATTGGAGCGAGTATAAGATTATACTCACTCCAGAGGGAGTTAATCTTATACTCGCTCCGAAATCTCTGTCCTTTGCGACATTCCAAGGCGAGGACTTTTTAATCCTGGTTTCCTCCTTTGTTTTCTCTTGACAGTGTTTCAACTGTTGTAGCTCCTCCCGTCGGGAGTCCAACTCTGTCCTCAGAGCACCACATAGATTCATCAGTTCCTTCACTACACCTTCCATTGTTACTACGATAACACACTCGGAGTTCCAGGTAACACACCCTCTCATATAGCTGACATGATTGAAGTGTATAAGTGGACACAATGGCATTAAAATGGGGGTTTTAATTAGAGTAAATGATTTCCTCGACATGGCTGGAAATACAATGGTGCTCGTGCAAGATTCCCAAAAAAGGCCTTCTGCAATTTCACTTTGTTCTATATGCGATATTTTATCCAGAAATAATAATTGAAAATAGGATTTATTATTATATACTAGAAAAAGGGATTAAATATGCCATCACTGTAAACGGACATATTGAGGGAAGATGACGGGAGGCAGTCCTTTAATCCCCATGATTTAATATTAAAAATGGGGTTAAATACGCCATCACAGAAAATGGAACTTGTTTGAGGAAAGATGAAGGATGACTGACTTATGATGTCATTAAACATTTAGAGATAGTTGTGCTAGTGCGGTCCGCCGAGATAATTGTATTTTGGAAAGACGGAAGGCGGCTGTTTAATCTCCGTTAAAATATATCTGGGGCCAAATTGCAGCTGTTTAATCCACATGGTAAAAAATTAAGGGGCCAAATCGCGGCTGTTACTCACGTTCATGGCAAAAAATCAGGGGCCAAATTGCAGCCGTCATAGAGGTTGACGGTAAAAATAGGGGACCAAATTGCTGCCGTCGAAAACCCCAAAACTGCTGCAATTTGGCTGAGTGTGCACTACTTAAGATGTGGGGTTGGGAGAGTAAGAGTTGGTTGGTGTCGCAGGTGACGGCCAACCTGCAGGCCTTCAACGACTTCGTGGTGACCAACGCCCAGGACGCCGACCTCCAGTTTGACGGCCTCATCGACACTTGGAGCTACGACTGGACCTTCCCTAATGCTCTCCTCTTTACCGTCTCCAGCATCGCCGTCATTGGTGAGTGTGGGGAGGTGTAGGGGGAGAGGTGGGGAGGTGTAGGGGTAGAGGTGGGGAGGTGCAGGGGGAGAGGTGGGGAGGTGCAGGAGGAGAGGTGGGGAGGTGCAGGAGGAGAGGTGGGGAGGTGCAGGAGGAGAGGTGGGGAGGTGCAGGGGGAGAGGTGGGGAGGTGTAGGGGGAGAGGTGGGGAGGTGTAGGGGGAGAGGTGGGGAGGTGCAGGTGGGGAGGTGCAGGGGGGGAGGTGCAGGGGGAGAGGTGGGGAGGTGCAGGGGGAGAGGTGGGGAGGTGCAGGGGGAGAGGAGAGGCGGGGAGGTGCAGGGGGAGAGGTGGGGAGGTGCAGGGGGAGAGGTGGGGAGGTGCAGGGGGAGAGGAGAGGCGGGGAGGTGCAGGGGGAGAGGAGAGGCGGGGAGGTGCAGGGGGAGAGGAGAGGCGGGGAGGTGCAGGGGGAGAGGAGAGGCGGGGAGGTGCAGGGGGAGAGGAGAGGCGGGGAGGTGCAGGGGGAGAGGAGAGGCGGGGAGGTGCAGGGGGAGAGGAGAGGCGGGGAGGTGCAGGGGGAGAGGAGAGGCGGGGAGGTGCAGGGGGAGAGGAGAGGCGGGGAGGTGCAGGGGGAGAGGAGAGGCGGGGAGGTGCAGGGGGAGAGGAGAGGCGGGGAGGTGCAGGGGGAGAGGAGAGGCGGGGAGGTGCAGGGGGAGAGGAGAGGCGGGGAGGTGCAGGGGGAGAGGAGAGGCGGGGAGGTGCAGGGGGAGAGGAGAGGCGGGGAGGTGCAGGGGGAGAGGAGAGGCGGGGAGGTGCAGGGGGAGAGGAGAGGCGGGGAGGTGCAGGGGGAGAGGAGAGGCGGGGAGGTGCAGGGGGAGAGGAGAGGCGGGGAGGTGCAGGGGGAGAGGAGAGGCGGGGAGGTGCAGGGGGAGAGGAGAGGCGGGGAGGTGCAGGGGGAGAGGAGAGGCGGGGAGGTGCAGGGGGGAGGAGAGGCGGGGAGGTGCAGGGGGAGAGGAGAGGCGGGGAGGTGCAGGGGGAGAGGAGAGGCGGGGAGGTGCAGGGGGAGAGGAGAGGCGGGGAGGTGCAGGGGGAGAGGAGAGGCGGGGAGGTGCAGGGGGAGAGGAGAGGCGGGGAGGTGCAGGGGGAGAGGAGAGGCGGGGAGGTGCAGGGGGAGAGGAGAGGCGGGGAGGTGCAGGGGGAGAGGAGAGGCGGGGAGGTGCAGGGGGAGAGGAGAGGCGGGGAGGTGCAGGGGGAGAGGAGAGGCGGGGAGGTGCAGGGGGAGAGGAGAGGCGGGGAGGTGCAGGGGGAGAGGAGAGGCGGGGAGGTGCAGGGGGAGAGGAGAGGCAGGGGGAGAGGAGAGGAGAGGCGGGGAGGTGCAGGGGGAGAGGAGAGGCGGGGAGGTGCAGGGGGAGAGGAGAGGCGGGGAGGTGCAGGGGGAGAGAGAGGCGGGGAGGTGCAGGGGGAGAGGAGAGGCGGGGAGGTGCAGGGGGAGAGGAGAGGCGGGGAGGTGCAGGGGGGAGAGGAGAGGAGAGGCGGGGGGAGGTGCAGGGGGGAGAGGAGAGGCGGGGAGGTGCAGGGGGAGAGGAGAGGCGGGGAGGTGCAGGGGGAGAGGAGAGGCGGGGAGGTGCAGGGGGAGAGGAGAGGCGGGGGGAGGTGCAGGGGGAGAGGAGAGGCGGGGAGGTGCAGGGGGAGAGGAGAGGCGGGGAGGTGCAGGGGGAGAGGAGAGGCGGGGAGGGGCAGGTGGAGAGGAGAGGCGGAGAGGTGCAGGGGGAGAGGGGAGGCGGGCAGGGGGAGAGGAGAGGAGAGGCGGGGAGGTGCAGGGGGAGAGGAGAGGCGGGGAGGTGCAGGGGGAGAGGAGAGGCGGGGAGGTGCAGGGGGAGAGGAGAGGCGGGGAGGTGCAGGGGGGGGAGAGGCGGGGAGGTGCAGGGGGAGAGGAGAGGCGGGGAGGTGCAGGGGGAGAGGAGAGGCGGGGAGGTGCAGGGGGAGAGGAGAGGCGGGGAGGTGCAGGGGGAGAGGAGAGGCGGGGAGGTGCAGGGGGAGAGGAGAGGCGGGGAGGTGCAGGGGGAGAGGAGAGGTGGGGAGGTGCAGGGGGAGAGGAGAGGTGGGGAGGTGCAGGGGGAGAGGAGAGGTGGGGAGGTGCAGGGGGAGAGGAGAGGTGGGGAGGTGCAGGGGGAGAGGAGAGGTGGGGAGGTGCAGGGGGAGAGGAGAGGTGGGGAGGTGCAGGGGGAGAGGAGAGGTGGGGAGGTGCAGGGGGAGAGGAGAGGTGGGGAGGTGCAGGGGGAGAGGAGAGGTGGGGAGGTGCAGGGGGAGAGGAGAGGTGGGGAGGTGCAGGGGGAGAGGAGAGGTGGGGAGGTGCAGGGGGAGAGGAGAGGTGGGGAGGTGCAGGGGGAGAGGAGAGGTGGGGAGGTGCAGGGGGAGAGGAGAGGTGGGGAGGTGCAGGGGGAGAGGAGAGGTGGGGAGGTGCAGGGGGAGAGGAGAGGTGGGGAGGTGCAGGGGGAGAGGAGAGGTGGGGAGGTGCAGGGGGAGAGGAGAGGTGGGGAGGTGCAGGGGGAGAGGAGAGGTGGGGAGGTGCAGGGGGAGAGGAGAGGTGGGGAGGTGCAGGGGGAGAGGAGAGGTGGGGAGGTGCAGGGGGAGAGGAGAGGTGGGGAGGTGCAGGGGGAGAGGAGAGGTGGGGAGGTGCAGGGGGAGAGGAGAGGTGGGGAGGTGCAGGGGGAGAGGAGAGGTGGGGAGGTGCAGGGGGAGAGGAGAGGTGGGGAGGTGCAGGGGGAGAGGAGAGGTGGGGAGGTGCAGGGGGGAGAGGAGAGAGTGGGGAGGTGCAGGGGGAGAGGAGAGGTGGGGAGGTGCAGGGGGAGAGGAGAGGTGGGGAGGTGCAGGGGGAGAGGAGAGGTGGGGAGGTGCAGGGGGAGAGGAGAGGTGGGGAGGTGCAGGGGGAGAGGAGAGGTGGGGAGGTGCAGGGGGAGAGGAGAGGTGGGGAGGTGCAGGGGGAGAGGAGAGGTGGGGAGGTGCAGGGGGAGAGGAGAGGTGGGGAGGTGCAGGGGGAGAGGAGAGGTGGGGAGGTGCAGGGGGAGAGGAGAGGTGGGGAGGTGCAGGGGGAGAGGAGAGGTGGGGAGGTGCAGGGGGAGAGGAGAGGTGGGGAGGTGCAGGGGGAGAGGAGAGGTGGGGAGGTGGTGCAGGGGGAGAGGAGAGGTGGGGAGGTGCAGGGGGAGAGGAGAGGTGGGGAGGTGCAGGGGGAGAGGAGAGGTGGGGAGGTGCAGGGGGAGAGGAGAGGTGGGGAGGTGCAGGGGGAGAGGAGAGGTGGGGAGGTGCAGGGGGAGAGGAGAGGTGGGGAGGTGCAGGGGGAGAGAGGAGAGGTGCAGGGGGAGAGGAGAGGTGGGGAGGTGCAGGGGGAGAGGAGAGGTGGGGAGGTGCAGGGGGAGAGGAGAGGTGGGGAGGTGCAGGGGGAGAGGAGAGGTGGGGAGGTGCAGGGGGAGAGGAGAGGTGGGGAGGTGCAGGGGGAGAGGAGAGGTGGGGAGGTGCAGGGGGAGAGGAGAGGTGGGGAGGTGCAGGGGGAGAGGAGAGGTGGGGAGGTGCAGGGGGAGAGGAGAGGTGGGGAGGTGCAGGGGGAGAGGAGAGGTGGGGAGGTGCAGGGGGAGAGGAGAGGTGGGGAGGTGCAGGGGGAGAGGAGAGGTGGGGAGGTGCAGGGGGAGAGGAGAGGTGGGGAGGTGCAGGGGGAGAGGAGAGGTGGGGAGGTGCAGGGGGAGAGGAGAGGTGGGGAGGTGCAGGGGGAGAGGAGAGGTGGGGAGGTGCAGGGGGAGAGGAGAGGTGGGGAGGTGCAGGGGGAGAGGAGAGGTGGGGAGGTGCAGGGGGAGAGGAGAGGTGGGGAGGTGCAGGGGGAGAGGAGAGGTGGGGAGGTGCAGGGGGAGAGGAGAGGTGGGGAGGTGCAGGGGGAGAGGAGAGGTGGGGAGGTGCAGGGGGAGAGGAGAGGTGGGGAGGTGCAGGGGGAGAGGAGAGGTGGGGAGGTGCAGGGGGAGAGGAGAGGTGGGGAGGTGCAGGGGGAGAGGAGAGGTGGGGAGGTGCAGGGGGAGAGGAGAGGTGGGGAGGTGCAGGGGGAGAGGAGAGGTGGGGAGGTGCAGGGGGAGAGGAGAGGTGGGGAGGTGCAGGGGGAGAGGAGAGGTGGGGAGGTGCAGGGGGAGAGGAGAGGTGGGGAGGTGCAGGGGGAGAGGAGAGGTGGGGAGGTGCAGGGGGAGAGGAGAGGTGGGGAGGTGCAGGGGGAGAGGAGAGGTGGGGAGGTGCAGGGGGAGAGGAGAGGTGGGGAGGTGCAGGGGGAGAGGAGAGGTGGGGAGGTGCAGGGGGAGAGGAGAGGTGGGGAGGTGCAGGGGGAGAGGAGAGGTGGGGAGGTGCAGGGGGAGAGGAGAGGTGGGGAGGTGCAGGGGGAGAGGAGAGGTGGGGAGGTGCAGGGGGAGAGGAGAGGTGGGGAGGTGCAGGGGGAGAGGAGAGGTGGGGAGGTGCAGGGGGAGAGGAGAGGTGGGGAGGTGCAGGGGGAGAGGAGAGGTGGGGAGGTGCAGGGGGAGAGGAGAGGTGGGGAGGTGCAGGGGGAGAGGAGAGGTGGGGAGGTGCAGGGGGAGAGGAGAGGTGGGGAGGTGCAGGGGGAGAGGAGAGGTGGGGAGGTGCAGGGGGAGAGGAGAGGTGGGGAGGTGCAGGGGGAGAGGAGAGGTGGGGAGGTGCAGGGGAGGGAGAGGAGAGGTGGGGAGGTGCAGGGGGAGAGGAGAGGTGGGAGGTGCAGGGGGAGAGGAGAGGTGGGGAGGTGCAGGGGGAGAGGAGAGGTGGGGAGGTGCAGGTGCAGGGGGAGAGGAGAGGTGGGGAGGTGCAGGGGGAGAGGAGAGGTGGGGAGGTGCAGGGGGAGAGGAGAGGTGGGGAGGTGCAGGGGGAGAGGAGAGGTGGGGAGGTGCAGGGGGAGAGGAGAGGTGGGGAGGTGCAGGGGGAGAGGAGAGGTGGGGAGGTGCAGGGGGAGAGGAGAGGTGGGGAGGTGCAGGGGGAGAGGAGAGGTGGGGAGGTGCAGGGGGAGAGGAGAGGTGGGGAGGTGCAGGGGGAGAGGAGAGGTGGGGAGGTGCAGGGGGAGAGGAGAGGTGGGGAGGTGCAGGGGGAGAGGAGAGGTGGGGAGGTGCAGGGGGAGAGGAGAGGTGGGGAGGTGCAGGGGGAGAGGAGAGGTGGGGAGGTGCAGGGGGAGAGGAGAGGTGGGGAGGTGCAGGGGGAGAGGAGAGGTGGGGAGGTGCAGGGGGAGAGGAGAGGTGGGGAGGTGCAGGGGGAGAGGAGAGGTGGGGAGGTGCAGGGGGAGAGGAGAGGTGGGGAGGTGCAGGGGGAGAGGAGAGGTGGGGAGGTGCAGGGGGAGAGGAGAGGTGGGGAGGTGCAGGGGGAGAGGAGAGGTGGGGAGGTGCAGGGGGAGAGGAGAGGTGGGGAACAGGGGGAGAGGTGGGGAGCAGGGGGAGAGGTGGGGAGCAGGGGGAGAGGTGAGGAACAGGGGGAGAGGTGAGGAACAGGGGGAAGAGGTGAGGAACAGGGGGGAGAGGTGGGGAGCAGGGGGAAAGGGGGGGGGGGGGGGAGCAGCCAGAGTGTACATACACTGGTTGCTTGTGATTTGCGAAACAATGAATGATTAATATAATTATTATTATTAAAATTATGATTATCTGAAGAGGAAGAATGTACAACAGGGGACACTTAAATAATTATGAAGCATCACAAGCATGAGGATTGTGTTTGTTTTAGGTCACAATCGTATTAATAATCCTTTTATAAGTAATTGCAAGGTAAAGAGAGAGTTGTTCCTGCAGGTTACGGCAACGTGGTGCCCAAGACCTTCAATGGCCGCTCAACCTTCACCCTCTCTTGGTCTTATATTGGTCTTTTGGCCTCCTCCCATCTCTCTCCTCTCTCTTCCTTATATATATGGCTAATATTGGTAGCCAGAACGCACTTTTACTGATTTGCCTCCAAAGTTTCCTGTAATTTTTCTTATGGTAGCAACCCTTTTCTCTATGTATGAGGTTAATTTTTTTTAAGTTAAAATTTAGATATATCGAACCTAACCAACCCTCTCTCTCCTATATTTAAGGTAAGGTTATAGGTATAGGTTATAGGTTAGGTATAATTCATATAGGCAAATATATATATATATATATATATATATATATAGATATATATATATATATATATATATCGTACCTAGTAGCCAGAACGCACTTTTCAGCCTACTATGCAAGGCCCGATTTGCCTAATAAGCCAAGTTTTCCTGAATAATATATTTTTTCTAATTATTTTCTTATGACATGATAAAGCTACCCATTTCATTATGTATGAGGTCAATTTTTTTTTATTTGAGTTAAAATTAACGTAGATATATGACTGAACCTAACCAACCCTACCTAACCTAACCTATCTTATAGGTTAGGTTAGGTTAGGTAGCCGAAAAAGGTAGGTTAGGTTAGGTAGGTTAGGTAGTCGAAAAACAATTAATTCATGAAAACTTGGCTTATTAGGCAAATCGGGCCTTGCATAGTAGGCTGAAAAGTGCGTTCTGGCTACTAGGTACGACATATATATATATACACTATATATATATATATATATATTATACATATATATATTATTAGTATAATTTGGTAGCAGTCTTTCTTGCAAACATATGGTGGTTGTTGAATATGACCGAAAAAGTAAGAATAATAATTGTAACACGATTTTTTTCAATATTTCTTATGTTTTTCTTTACTGTCGGTTGTAATGAAAATATCAATTCTCCAAAATTCATTTTTTATTAATGATCTGACGCCTGATCGCGTTTCGTAATTCGCATTACATTTTCAAAGGCTTAATTTACACACAAATTCATCGTACTTATACTCTATTGGGTGAGGTGATATGGTGCAAAAGTTTTGGGTGAGGTGAACAAAACTGTGACAAACACAAGACAGAACACGGAACAATGGGTATAACTTGGATATGAGAACATAAGAATCTGCAGGAGGCCTATTGGCCCATACTTCCTCTTGCTGCTTCCATATTGGTTCGGGGCCTTGAAGTGGGTAGAATATAGTTGTGCATTAATTGGCCGTTGATTGCTGGTGTTGACTTTTTGATATGTAGTGCTTCGCTGATGTTGAGTCGCCTGCTATCGCTGTACCTATCGATGATTTCTGTGTTTCGTAAGATTTCTCTGGTGATGGTCTGGTTGCGAGAAGAGATTACATGTTCCTTGATGGCTCCCTGTTGCTTATGCATTGTTAGTCGCCTCTAAAGAGTTGTTGTTGTCTTGTCTATATACTGAGTTCTTTGGGGCTTAGAGTCCCCAAGTGAGCATTTAAAGGCATAGACGACGTTGGTCTCCTTCAAAGGGTTCTGCTTGGTGTCTGGGGAGTTTTTCATGAGTAGATTGGCCGTTTTTTTTTGTTTTATAATAAATTATCAATTGTATTTTCTGATTTTTGTCTGTAGGGATAACGTTCCTATCAACAATATCTTTCAGGACCCTTTCCTCCGTTTTATGAGCTGTCGAAAAGAAGTTCCTGTAAAATAGTCTAATAGGGAGTTTTATCATTAAACATCCACAGGACACAGATGCCAGTACACACATTGTACACAGTTTATGTAGTGACCACTTGGCACTGATTACCACCGTCGACATGAGCAAGAGAAGGAAAGAGACAAATAAAAGAAAAAGGTTATCACTCGGACCAGATATGAGGCCGCACTTCATAAACAGGATGAATGACTGGTTCACGGAATACCAAATCCCAGAAGACATTGACACATTTGTTGATGACCTTAATAACTAAATAGAGCACTGTCTCAGAGCTCTGCACCCTACGTCTAGGAGCAGTAACCCTCAGAAGAAGAAAATAAAATGGTATGAGCACGACTACATAAAGATGCTCAATGTGCGAGACATGAGTAGAGAGTACCGGAGACATCCCACTGAAAGTAACCAAGAGCTGTTTAAAACTGTGTGTCAAGTAGCCAGGGAAGAGAAGATTAAAGAGCGGGAAAGACAATGGCTTGAATTCACTAGCTCCATTGGAAGAGAAACATCTGCAAGACAAGTGTGGGCAAAAATTCAGATAGCTAAGGGGGGCAGAGCCCGGCCTGCGGCGCACAAAGACCCCCAGGGTAAGGCTGAAGAACTAATTCACAAGTGGAGTGATGCAGCATCCTCCTCCTCCCTCCCTGCAGAAGTAAGCAGGGAACAGCTCCTCCGACATAATGACAGAAGAATTAGGATAACAAGAGCACTGTCTAGTGATGACGAATATGGGGAACCAATCACAGCCCAAGAAGTAAGGGGCGCTATGAAAAAGGGTAAAAGTACAGCACCTGGTGAAGATGGCGTCACCTACGACATACTCAATGCACTGTGTGAAGTGCTTGGAATCCACTACTCCAACTGTTTAACAAATCATTCCTAAGTGGAGCTTTTTTTTTTTTTTGCAGGGATATTCCTGCGCGGGCCCTAAGCCTCTGGCTGGCCCACTAAGTGTTGCTTGTTTCTGTTTTACTTGGGCGGAGTATGAGTATTTATGACTCGTATGGTCGCTTCAGTAAGATTTTGCCATATGTGTTTAACAACTTTCTGCTCTGTTGAATCTAAGTTGAAATCTTAATGGGTTTGTAACTGTGCACTGTGTTAAATAATGTTCCAGTGGTCTGTCGGGCATTTCTCCAGTGTTGACGTTTCCTCTCATCTTCCGGAACCTGTAAGCCTATTTCCCATGCACATGGGTATCCAAGCCTGAAGCGATGTAAGTGTACTTCTGTTGCTCTATTGCTCCCTTTCATCAATCTAAGGGGGTTCGTAGTTGGTTGAATTCTTGTACCAACCCGCAGATCCTGATGTTGCAACTGCTGTGTTGTGGTCACTGCACATCTTTTGCATTGCTCTGTTTCTAATTACTTTCTTAATCTGTGACAGACTCTGTGGTATGTAAATGTCCTAAGTGGAGAGTTGCCCACACAATGGAAACGTGCAATAATTGTCCCCATACCGAAGCCCAATGACCCTGGTAATTACAGACCTATCAGTCTCGTGTCATGCATTTGCAAGATGCTTGAAAGGATCATTCTAAACCGACTGTTGCACAAAATAGGCAGGTTAGGGGAGGGGATCAATGGATTTGTTAAAGGACGGAGCACATCAAATTGTATAGTTAATTACCTGGCTAATGACACAGCTAAGTACTCTGTATTTATCGACATCAAAGGAGCTTTCGACAAAGCACAGGGGATTGCGATCCTGGACGAGCTTGCATGCATAGGTGTCAAGGGAAGACTCGTGAAATGGGTTGAAGACTGTCTCACAGGGAGAAAAGCCAAGGTTTGCTTCAATGGAGCAGTCTCAAGAACAATGAATATGGAATTCGATATTTCCCCCCAAGGAGGAGTCTTAAGCCCCACACTATTCAATGTACTTATGAACGCCATTGCAAATATTGATTTTCCAGATGGGACCCAACAAGTGGGTTTTGCAGATGATGTTCTAATACAAGCTCCCACCTTGGGAAAAATTAAACAGTCCATTGAACTCCTCGGAAGGAAATGTATTTAGCTCGGTTTCTCACTCTCCACAAACAAGACAAAAGCATACTCTCATCACAAGCGGGGAGAAAATGAAGAACTGCAAATTAATGGTGTAACACTTGAATGGGTTGACCACTATCGGTACCTTGGCGTCACTTTCTTCCCCTCTAACAAGGGGAAGAAAGAGGAGCTCAACCAACTCAGGAATATGCAAAAGTCGACTCAGGGCACTGAAAGCCATGACCTGGAATGGTTATGAAGCCTCCATTGCGGTGCTTGAAATGATGTACACAGCCTATGTGCGCTCCGTCATAGACTATGCCGCACCAGTTCTGTGCACCTACTCCCAAAGCGATATGAAAAGGCTCGAAAGCATTCAGAATGAAGCCATGACAATCATTCTTGGTGTTCCAAGAACTGCCAAAACGTCCAATCTACGAGAGTTGTTGTCCCTCCCCTGTGTTAAAAGCAGAATTAAGGAGCTGAATGCTAAGCTTGCAATTAGGATAGCCAGAGATCCCCATTACAATGATATTGCTAAGAAAGAACTGAGGTCTGTGCTACTTTCAGGGGGAAACAGGAGAAGCAAAAAATGGCATCACAGATCAGTCTGCTACCTCGAAGAACTTCACCTGCTTGAGTAAGCCCGTGAGCTCCTGCCTGTAGAGAGGTTACCTCCCTGGGAGGATGACTCATGTAGGATTATCATCAATGAAAAAATCCAACATGATACCACAAGAAATGAGGCACAAGTATCTCGAGGAAATTTATAAAGAAGCCGGAGATGAACTAGATGAAATCTACACTGACGGGTCATCTAATCCTGTCAAGGGCAGGGCTGGTGCAGCATACATGGTAATTAAGGATAATGCTTTCCAACGCAGAAATGAAGAAAAAGTGTGTATTGAGAGTTGTGCCTCTTCAACGCTAGCAGAGCTAACTGCCATTGTTATGCTGTTAAGGTTTCTTGAATAGAACACTAATGGTGCAGTGATTTGCACTGATTCAAAAGCAGCACTGCAAAGCCTAAGTAAAAATCGGGCAGAAAATCTTGCAATAGTCGCTGAAATTAAGAGAGCTGTGAGAGTACTTACCAATCAGGGAAGAGTCATGAAGTTTGTGGATCCCCTCCCATGTTGGAATATGTGGGAATGAACGAGCAGATGTGCTGGCTGCTGAAAGCGCTGAAGGAGACCATATTGAATACTTCATACCCAAGAATCTACTACAAATTAGAGGTATTATCAAGCAACATCACCGTGACAAGGTAACTGAGGAAAGGAGGATAGAATCACAAACCAGTGAATCTATACGATGGTACAACA